CTTGTATCTCCCTTCCTATTGTTCTTCTCTGAAGTGCACCAGAAAAGGGACACGTACCCAGGATAACAAGGGTCCTTTGAGTATGTCCTAAATCGAGGTGACAAGGCATTAAATGGAGCAAAATTTCGTTTGTCTTTTTGTCCCCAAGGATTGACTGTCTGGTACATGCCTGGGTAAGGTGTTGTATCCTGTTTCCAAGAAAAAGATCAATATGTTAGAGAAGCAAAAAAACAGAATCATCTTTTCCCTGTGCATGTATTAGCTGTGGTTTAACCAGCTCAAGCTATAGAAATAGGCCTAGAGTAGGTAGCAAAACAATATAAGGATATGGTCCAGCTACCTAAAGATACCTGATGCTTAGGTTGTAGAAATAAACCAATGGTGGGTAGAGAGCCAAGGTGACTTGCTGCACCTACTACCCCCACCATCCCACCATCCCACTCAGAGATTCTTTTAAAGCCAGTATCCCTCTCCTTCATCTTAAGTGTCAGGAAAACGTCCAACTAGAGATTAAGATTCTATACTGAAGACTTGAAATCCAATCTCACAAAAGGGTGAAGAAGTTGGAATTTGTTTTTTAACTGACAAGAGGATATGATGCATATAAATAAACCCTCCAGTATTTTAACATCAGCTGTCTCAGGACTGAAACTCTGCCTTGGTATCATTTCTTCTGAGAACTATGTTTTTACTCTCTTAGAACACTCTCTCACACACACATTTGCAGTGCTAACACCCAAGCTTTTCAGATAGGGTTCTTAGTAGCTTTTGTCCAAATGACTTTTTTTTCCTTGAATTTCAGGGCATATTTTTTAGGTAACCTCCAGCTTTGCTCTCCAACGCAAAAACACGCAACAACACAGATCACACTAAAATCTAAGCACATTCAGTCATTTCTAACCTTACTGATTGGCTTAAACCTCATGGCTGTTCTGGCTCCAAAAGCATATCCTTTTCGACTGGTCGGGATTTTAGACAGGTTGTATGCCAAACCGTACTTCTTCAGGTAGTATATAGAAAACAAAGAAAGCAAAACCAAACATAGAGAACATTATAGTTACTAGAACAGAGTGAACTTAAGAGTATTTCTGAATTTTCTCTGCAAAGATCTTGCCTCCTCTGAATCAAGACCATACAAACAATTACATAAGTAACACAGGTAACTCTACAAAGGAATGTGGCTGGATAGGTAGAATAAATGACATTTCCATGTATTCCAATGAATCTAGTCCTCTGAGCCCCACAGTGCTAAGTCTACTCTAATGCAACTGTCAGTCTGATTTTACTGTTTCATAAACTGACTTCCCAACACAGCCACAGTGAAGGTTTGAATCATAGGTCTTCAGAGGTAGAAATGAGTGGGGACTATACTGGGAATTGCATAAAGCCTAGGCTTGCATGTGGGGGGGGGGTGCAAAAGGGCAGCTATGGCCCTTTAACTTCTGACATTGGCCCTGACAGCTTGTTGCAGAAGACCAAGGCACTTTCTCATATTGGGACCCTGAGGTCACAAATCCCATAGGATTTTTCTTGCAGAAAACTTGGGCATCCTTTGGTAGCTGGGGAACTGAGACCCACCTAAGGGACAATGAATACTCACATCTTCTGGTATGTAATATCCAGGCCCACGGTGGGGCACTCCGCTGAGAGGGAGAAACTTGTTCCCCAGCAAGCTTGGGGGATGGAAGTGAGGAAAGAGCTTCCTCTGCTGACGTGTTCCAAAGGAGTAGTTAACCAGCGGCTCTGAGAATCAAGAAGAAGGAGAAATTTCACATGAGGGAAGGTCTTTGTCTAAGTGAGTGCTTGGGGGCAGGTTGTGAATAGGGAGGCAGAGCAGAGAAGTGGGCAAACGGAGTTCAACAAAACCTGACCAACTCCAAAGCGGGGGGTGAACTACTCTTTTCTCCTCTCCCAGCTGGTCTTTCCTGGCCTCCCCGCTATTCCACGGGCCCTTTACCCTCGAGTCCGCTCTCCTTACCTGCTTTGTTGAAGCACATCGCAGGAGTGCCTCTAGGGCCAGCGTTTGTGTACCGTGTTGCCTAGGAAGCAGAGTCCCGCCAGGCAGCCCCAGGCTGAGCTCCCAGAGGCCTGTGGCTCTGAGCGCCGCCTACTCAGCAAGTGGGGTTGCCTAGGGGGACACCTTGGGACAGGAACTCTTACCTCCCCTTCCTGGGCGGGAGGTAGGGGGTTATCTGTGTATGAGACGCTAAGGGCTGAGAGTATGAGGGGGTGGGCAGAGGGTTTTGGAAGCTGGGCCACGGGAAATGCACTGCTGAGGAAGGAGGGACTCCTGAGTTTAGAATGCCCTAAAGCCCAGGCTGCTAGAATCAGGGATGTAGGAAAACACAGCCTCTGCAGTGATGGCCAAAGAGGGTGGGCTTCCTGGGCGATGCCCAGAGCTGGGGAGTTGGGGACCTAATGGACTATAGATAGTTCCGTATGAAGCCCCTCTGAGACCCATTTTTCCTTTTCCTCAAGCCACACTCTTCTCCCTTTAAGTGGGGCTGGAGTCTTTTTCATTGATAAGTAGTCTGTAAATAGTTGTAAATTTGGTGTGCCTATGAAAAAAGGTGAGCTCAGGGTCTTTCTACTCCTCTGTCTTGACCGAACTCTCTCCATTTCTTGAACTGGGTACTGCTGAAACCGGAGTTCACCTTGCATATTTCATTAATCTGTTCAGTTATGATTTAGACCTTTTTCAGTATGGGTAAATAAACAAATAAAATAGATTATTTTTAAAAACCTGGCAACCCTATAGGAAGCACATTAACATTATTTACTCACTTCTTTTCAAGAGTAGCATAACCACACCCACTTCCCTTTTTTTTAAGATTTCAGTGGTTTGTAATTTATCGAGTATTATCATTATTTTAACTAAAGATATTTACCTTTTCTCCCTTATCAGAAAGCAGTAAGTCCAGAGTGTTATTAATTCTCTTAACATTAGTTTTTGTTCTGGTGTCCATGTATAACGCTGCTCTTTTATTTTCCTAAACTGCTTATATGAAACAACATTTAACCTTCTCTCTTAATTCTAGGCTTACTCATTAGCCATTATATGGTGCAAAAAACTGACTACCTTATTCTTCTAAAGTAGTTGTATCTGAGCATTTATATACTATAATACATATTTATTAGGAAGTATTTTTCTCCTTTACAATTATAGCATTAAATTGTTCGTGAAATTATGTGTGGTAGGTTATGTTATCCATGAAGTTAATCTTAGGATAATGAAAAGAGTGTTATGAAGTAATTTGTTACTGAAAGCAGGACTTGGGTCGAAACAGAATTGAGAACCCCTAATCAAGATAATAGAGATTCAGCTGGAGGATGGATGTCTTGAGAAGGAAGATAGGAGCGAATAATATACTTTTTAAATCCCACTTTCCTGGGACTTTCTTAAATACTCTACCACCTCTTTCATCTGATGGTAGAGGAATGAAACAGGCTCTGAAGCTCCCCAGAACTGGTTTCTAATAGGTACTGGTCTGTTGTTTACTAGCTATATGACCTTGTGAAATTTACTTAAACTCCCTAAACCTTGATTCATCTATAATATAGCACTAATCATTTCTTGCCTCTTAGGGTTGCCATGAGGATCTAGGAGATAACATAGGACAGATCTTGCACAGCTAGTGACTAACCTGTAATTCCATTTAATAAACGTTAATACACTCTCAATCTACGGCCTCCATGCCCAGGGCTATAGCTAACTCCAAGGGTACCTTTGTGCAATTTTTAAAATGGTGCCCTTTCATCTGAATGGGTACCACTCAAGGCTCATGACTTGGTGAGTGGAACACTGCTCCCATCTCTGCTGGGAGAGATGTGCTTACCCCACCTCTTTCCAATTAGACTCCAATACTGAAGGAATGAGTTTTCATACATGACCTAGGGTCTAAGTATACGATTACCAGCATGAAAGTCCCAAAGGAATGGCTGAGTGATGATGGCATAGTTTTGTTTCCGTTCATGTTCCTGGGTGGACCAGATGGCATGGACTTTGAAGATCTCGGAGAAACTCTGGACCAGAGCTCCTCATCAGAGGGACTTTTAAAAACCCTGACTCTCTCAAGTGTTGTCTCCATGAGTCACCACTCTTATAAGCAGACTTTTTAAGAAACTGAAGGGTGTAACTCAGACTGGCTGCTGAGCAACAGCCCCACCCTTGAAGTCCCTCTTTAAGTCATTGTGACTTTGCTTTCTACAAGGCACCATTATGGTGCAGAGGGAGACATAAAGGCCCAAGTTTGAAAATGAGCTCTGCTAATTATTAACTACATGATCCTGGGCAAGTTTTCCTCACAAGATCTCAGCTTCTTCACCGGTAACACAGGGGCAATATTCACCATGCAAGAGATAACCTATATAAAGTGCCTCATCTAATGTTTGGCTTACTCAACTTGTTTGCCACCTCCTTTCTTGCCCTCATTGATTTATTCATTCAATGGGTACTTTTTAAACTCTTGCAATTTGCCACATACTGCTCTAGGCAATAGGAATGTAGCAGTGAACAGAAATTCTTGCCTCACAGAAGTTAATTCTACTGGAGGAGGCAGACAATAAAAAATGATAAATACATAAAATGTATAGTATGTCAAGTATTAATAAGTGCCAAGGAAAGACAAAGGAATCATAGACAAGGAAGGGAAAAGGGAATTTCATGGCTAGGAATGGCCTCACTCTCAAATTAACCTTTTTAAGTTGTGAGTTTGTTACCGAATTCCAAGAAGCTACAGTTATTTTACTGCTTTTCTCCACTTTAATCTTTATGCTATAAGTAAATGTTTAATAACCTATTCTGCTATGGAGTTGAATTTTTCTGATTCTCTCTGTTTATCACCTTACTTAAAGTTTTGTGTAATTTTACCTTTTTGTTTGAGGTAGGAGAGTTGCTTTTGACATTTCTTGTAAGGCAAGTTGGGTGGTGCTGAACCTCTGAGGTTATGTTCATCTAGGAAAGCCTTTATTTCTCCTTCATATCTGAAGTCCAAATTTGCTGGATAGAGTATTCTTGACTGACATTTTTTAATCTTTCAATATTATGAGTATATCATCTCACTTTCTACTTGGCTGTAGAGTTTCTGCTGAGAAATCTACTAGGCTAATGGGATTCCTTTGTAGGTAACTATCTTTATTCCCCTTGGATGCCATTAAATTCTTTATTTGTCATTGACTTTTGACAGCTTTAATGTAATGTGTTCTGGAGTAAGTCTTTCTGCATTGAGATAATTAGGTGTTCTCTTAGCTTTGTGAACTTGTGTATCCAGTTCCTTCCCAGGTTTGGGAAGTTACCAGCTATTATTTTTAAAAATAAACTCTCTGCTCCCTTCTCCCTCTCTTCTCCTTTTGAGATACCCATTAGCCTTATGTTGCCTTTCTGAATGGAGCTGGATAATCCTCATAGAATTTCTTTATTTAAAAAAATATGACTTTTCTTCTCTCTTCTACCTGAATCACGTCTAGGTTCCTGTGTTTGAGCTTGCCAGTCCTCTCTTCCATATAGTTTGCTTCATTTCCAGTGCTTCCTAATGCCTTCTTCATCTCATTTATTAAGTTCTTCAGCTCCATAATTTCTGTTTGGTTTTTCTTTAGAGTTTCAATTTCTTTGGTAAAGTATTCCTTCTGTTCATTAATTTTATTCCTGAGCTCATTGAACTGCCTTTCTGAGTATTCTTGAAGCTCACTGAGTTTCTTCATGACATTATTTTAAATTTTAAATTCTCTATCAGACCACAATCTTTCATGACCTTAAGTTTGGTTTCTTGAGAATTGCCATCTTTTTGTGATACCATATTGCCATAGTTTTGTCATGATGTTTAATGAGTTGTTCCTCTGCTAGCACTTTTGACGTAGCAAACACCTTTTTTATTTAGGCAAAGCTTTTTCACTTTGATTCTAACAATTCAACAAGTTGGTTATTAGAGGTCTTTTTTTTTTTCACTAGGAAGTGAGGCACAAGTTTTGGCTTCTCTTACCTGAGTTGCCTCTGACTATATTTGAAAACTGACTTTCCAGCCTCTACTGCCTCTGCCAGAGGTCTCACTGGTGCACTTATCATTGATGCTTGTGCCTCCAGGATCTCTAGTGTCTTGCTGCAGCCAGTTTTGGTGCTGTCACTGGTGTTACTGCTGGGGCATCAGGATGGTGGGCATCTCCACTGTGTCTGGGGTCACCTGGATGGCAGGTACCACCACCACAGCAGAGGCAGAGGGAGGGTAGGGTGGGAACAGGGGTCGTGGGTGCCTTCGCCACATCTGAGGTTGTCAGGTGTAGGAGTGCCAGAGTCCAGGTGCCACCATAGCTGGAGGGACAAAGGTCATGGGCCTTGCTACTGCTGAAGCCTGGTTCCCTGTGTCTGCGGATGCTGCTGCAGTCGGGAGCCCAGATTCGCGTGTGCTGCCTCCTCTGTTACCGCTGGGTCCTCTGGGACTGCTGGCTCAGCCGCTGTGGCCAGGGAGCCAGGATTGCAGGTACTGCCTTTGCTGTTCCCCTGATTCCACTTTCTCTATTTGTTCCAATTAACTTATCTTCAGATTATAGATGTGTGATCTCTCCATCATCCTTGCACAGAGGAAACTTCATTGAGTTATGAATGTTTTCTAGTTGTAGATTGAAGAGGAGAGACAAAGATAATAACTCATGCTAGCATGATATTGACCTCACCACAATCTTCTTTTCTTTAACATGTCTTTTTCATTTCTACTTCAAGGACTCTGTCTGAAATGCACTTTTACCAGATCTCAAAATGACTGGTTTTTCTTTAATATCAAGGCCCATCTCATATGGAATCTCTCCAGAGAGGCCTTCCTGAACTGACCAAACTAAAGTAGGCTCCTCCCTTGGTCACTTTCTATCACTGTTTCACTTTCCTGATTTCTTTCTCTTTTCTTTTCCTTCCTTCCTTTCTTCTTTTCTCCCTTCCTTCCTTCCTTTCTTTCTTCCTTCCTATGTTTTCTATTTATTGTCAAACACTCCCATCAGCAAAATAAAATCCCCAGAAGGATGAGGTCTTTATTCTATTTACTACTATGTCTTTGGTACTTAGAACACTATCTGGTGCATAATAAATAACCAGGAAGTGTTTGGGGGTCCTGAATGAGCAGATATTACCCAGAAAGCTGCATGTGCCTCACCATTACCACCAGTGCTGCCATCTACCATGAGAACACTGAGGTCTGTGCTCAAGGAGGCAGTAAATCATAGTAGTTAGGACTGTGAGCTCTTTTGGATCTGGCTTTGCAACTTGTTAGCTGTGTGATGTTTGACAGGTTATTTAGTTTCTTGGAATTAATGTTATTGTCCTCATAAAGTTGCTGGGAGAATGAAATAATAAAATATACATAAAACACTTAGAACAGGGTTTGACCTACAGTAAGCATTACAGAAAAAAATTAGGAGCCATTATATTCTTATTATATTAGGTAGGATTTCTTTTAGTTGCAAATAAAAGAAGCAAACTTATACCAGCTTATGTAGCAAACAGGAATTTATTATATAGTCATAAGGGTGTCTCACAGAACCCAAAGGCAAAAATGCATCAGGGCCTCAGGAAAGAGCTAGAGTCAACAGTTGAAAAGCCATTGATATGTGTTTTCTCTCCATCTCTCCTCATGGCTTTTCTCTGCATCTCCCCTTTAGTCTTTTTGTTCTGCATCCAGGGCAACTTTCCCCTCTGCCATTCCACTCGCATACATAGCCTGTATTTTCACATCTAGAAAGGTTTCCACCCGAATCACTTAAAACCAAGGATACTCATGTTTTGACTGATGGATTTTATTGCAGAACTCTGGGTAGGGGCAAGGTGTGCTAAGCAAAGGAGACTATTCAGAACCCTAGGGAATGGAGACACGGGTCAGGTTTATGCCCAGTTGCAGCACTCACAGCTGGTATCAAAGACAAGCCCCGCCTGGCAATTCTTCCTATATGTGATTCCATTTGCACAGTGCCAGAAGGCATTTCTGTTATTCGCCACAGGGTAGAGGCCATCGGCTTTGCCAGCACAGAATCCGCTGCTGCCAGAGCTATCTCCAGAACTGCTGCTCCCAGTCCCGCTTTCACTCCCACTTCCGCTCTCACTTCCACTTCCGCTTCCGCTCCTGCCGTTGGGCTTACTGGGCTGAGCCGAGGCTGTGCAACCTGAAACAGTGCAAAGAGTAGGCTAGTGGACCTGGCAGAGGCTCCCACATTCACTTAGAGATGAAGAACTAGCAGACCTGGGGTGATGTCTGGAGGTGGAGTTCAGTTAGCTCTAGGTCCCTACAGCTGAGGAGCTTACAAGAAACTCCATACTTAAGGAATTAGGAAAAGCTGTAATTTCAAGCCAGCCTACTTTTTAAAAATTTTTTTTAACATTTTTAATTGATTTATAATCATTTTACAATGTTGTGTGAAATTCCCGTGTAGAGCACAATTTTTCAGTTATACATGAACATATATATATTCATTGTCACATTTTTTTTTCTGTGAGCTACCATAAGATCTTGTATATATTTCCCTGTGCTATACAGTATAATCTTGTTTATCTATTCTACTATTTTGAAATCCCATCTATCCCTTCCCACCCTCTGCCCCCTTGGCAACCACAAATTTGTATTCTATGTCTATGAGTCTGTTTTTGTTTTGTATTTATGCTTTTTTTTTTTTTTTAATTCCACATATGAGCAATCTCATATGGTATTTTTCTTTCTCTTTATGGCTTACTTCACTTAGAATGACATTCTCCAGGAGCATCCATGTTGCTGCAAATGGTGTTATGTTGTCAGTTTTTATGGCTGAATAGTATTCCATTGTATAAATATACCAGTCATCTGTTGATGGACATTTAGGCTGTCTCCATGTCTTGGCTATTGTAAATAGTGCTGCTATGAATATTGGGGTGCAAGTGTCATCCTGAAGTAGGAGTCCTTCTGAATATATGCCCTGGAGCGGGATTCCTGGGTCATATGGTAAGTCTATTCCTAGTCTTTTGAGGAATCTCCATACTGTTTTTCACAGTGGCTGCACCAAACTGCATTCCCACTAGCAGTGTAGGAGGGTTCCCCTTTCTCCACAGCCTCTCCAGCATTTGTCATTTGTGGATTTTTGAATGATAAAGCCAGCCTAGTTTTAAATTTAAAAAAGTTCTCTCTTCTTTTATGATGTTAAAAAGTCATTTTAAAAAATTTACTAAGCACTCAATATACACAAAATGCTTTTCTAGGATCTGGGTATAAGTGGTGAGCAAATAAGCTCTAAGAGAAAATCTGGACAAAATTTAGGGAGTCGGTGCTTTCCCTGAATTACAGATTAGAAATATGTGCACACTCCAGAGGGTTTCTTGTTTAATCTCCCCAGGTGGGCTGAAAGAGACTTTTAATATGGGGTTTGTGGGGTGGGGGAGGGTATACCTCAATGATAGAGCACATGCTTAGCATGCACGTGGTCCTAGGTTCAATCCCCAGTGCTTCCATTAAATAAATAAATAAATAAATAAATAAATAAATAAATAAATAAATAAACCTAATTACTTCCCCCCACCAAAAAAAAAAGTTTAAAAAATACTGGAAGGAATAAGGGGTTTGTAGAAAAGTAAATGCTTATATAGAAAGCCAACCAAATTTCCTGAGTCCTCTTCACACCTTAGAGACTTAGCAGACCTGGAAAACCCACTGAGTAGGCCTGGTTTCTAGTAAGAGTGTAAACTTCCTAATGTAGACATTCAAGGGTAGGGATAGAATGTAGCACCTCTCTCTCAGCCAGGCAGAAGCAGTGAGGTGAAACAGGAAGAGACTAGGGGACGAGGGCCAGGATGGGGGCAGGTGATAGTGATGGGAAGATGTTAGATTGTCTTTTGAGTTGAAGAAGGAGCATTTTTATACCCTATTCATCCTCCTGCTGTCACTTACTTGTAGTGTTCAGGCCAAGAGCATCCTTCAAGGCGTTGATCAGAGGGAACTTGCCCTGGTTGCAGAAAGTGCCTGTGAAATCATCCAGGTCAATGGCCCAGACCATGGCACCTCCGAAATTGTTCAGCTTAAGCCACTGAGCCTGTTTAAGGATAGAAGACACCAGGAGTCATTTAATTGCTTTACTCAGGGCTGAACCTACAGCACATTGGAGGGTTTGACCTTACCTTGATTTTGAAGCTCTCTTCATTGTCATAGCCAACCCATTCATTGCCCTTATAGGCATAGGGCACATCCTGCGGGGCATCCCATGCCTGAGTAGCTCCGTTTTGCAGGAAGGTACAGATCTTTAAAAAGTCAAGAGGTTCAAATCCTTTAAATATAACTCCCATGAAAGAGAAAATATATACTTTCTTCTCTGATTTTTTTTTCCTGTCATGTCTCTAATTGGGTTTTCCTCAAATTTCTAATTATGGGTTTTTATTTCACAGTAAATAAGATCAAGTTACTTTTGAAGTACTCAGATGTTATCTTTATTCTTAGTGCTTGATTTTGGGAACCCATGCTAATATGGTACATAGTTATTTTATTCCCTTATGTGCTAACATAAATGACCTTAAGTATGTAGTCTGTTGTTTGAGGGGGTGCTGCACAGTATAAATGTTCTTCATTGTGGAGTAGGTAAATGAATAGGTTACTTAAACACCTGACACATTTGAAGTCATATCTGTGTTGAAGTAGGTAAGTAGTGAACAGAATCAATATTCAGGCTTTCTGTAGATTCTAGCCCTAAGGCTACTGCTTGGCACAGGGCATAAAATCCGCAGAATTTCAATTGTACAGCACAGCCTACCTACCTCATAGTAGGCCCAGAACCCAGCCTGCCTGGTATAGGGTCCAGCAGAACCAGCACCAGAAGTAGGGGCACCAATGCCAGTGCTGGAAGGATTGCTTAGGATGAAGGTACGCCCATAAGCAGGGAATCCAACGATGAGCTTCTCAGCTGGGGCCCCATTGTCCTTCCAGTAGTTCATGGCATAATCCTGCAATGGCAGTTGGTTACCTAGAAGCCCCACCAGTTGGTGACCCAATGCTTAGTTATGCTAGTCCTGTGGCCTAACAGGTAAAATTGAATGATACTAATGACAGATCAGTTAGTATTTTTTCAAAGCATTTTGGTGAAATTATAGTTAAGGAGATGTGATCAATCACTTAAAAGGAGAGTTATCCAAGTGATATATTTGCAGAATTTATGTTTGTTTTGTCTCTGAATCTCCATGTGACTTACAACATCTCTGGTCTGCATCTGCATCTGGGGGGGGGACTCACCACATTGAGGTAGGCATTGCTGCCAGTGTCAGTTGGGTACTTGTGGAGGGGGCTGTTCTCCCCAGTGTAACCCTCCCAGGAGCCATGGAGGTCATAGGTCATGACATGGATGTAGTCCAGGTACCTGAGGTGGGGTAAAGGGTTTAAAAACATTTCCGACAGTTATTTCCCACACTTGTGCAGGCAAAAGATACCACTTCCAAAGCTTCCTAAACAAAGTCCCTGAAGAGCAAGACAGACTAAGGACAAGTCTACCTTACAAAAATGATATCTATCGTTTGAGGACAAGATGAGTCACTCACTGGGACAGCTGAGGGATCTCATAACCAGACTGGATGTTGGAGATACCAGCAGCTACTGCAGCAGTGACCAGCAGCCTGGGCTTGTTGGCTTGCTCAGCTTCCTGCTCGAAAGCTTCACGCATTTCCTGTAGAATAATCAAGTATAGCAGGGCGCCTACGAAACTGATTTCAGTTTCTTAAATAATAATAAATATATGTTTGTATACTGCTTCTTTTAAAATATGCTTTCACATATTTTATCTTACTTTAGTCTCTCAATATCCCCATGGGTAAGATTGATGGTATTAATCAAATGTGTAGCTAATGTGCATAGAAGTTAATGATTTCACGGAAGTCTCATCATAGTAAGTTAGCAGCCAGGTCATGACAAAAACCCAGGCCCCAGATGACCAGTCAGAGCTCCACTTATATCACTATATTCTGAAGTTATAGTTGCTGCAGTAACCTATATCAGTTTTTAGCAATATAAAAATTCACTTCCCTTTGTCCAGTAGATGAGCTACTTTATAGGCCTGACATCCCATCAAATGAAATGCTGAATTGGCCAGTGAGGAAGTTGGTAATAGTCAGGTGACAGATTCCCATTCAATGCTAGAGGTTAATCCACATTTATTTTGTGTGACTCCAATCTTACCAGAAGTATTGGACCCCGTTTTTATAACTGCATTATTAAGGTGTGCCAGGGGATGTTCCAGTGAAGAGTGGGTCTGAAAATTGTCATATGGATACTTGTTAAAGGAACTATTTAACTGGAAGAAGAAAAATTATAGGCAGGATATGGCTATCTTCAAATATTGAACCAATAGATTGCAAAAGATGCAGTTTTATTCTTTGTTACTTGGGTGGACAGAACTAGAACCAATGACTGGAAGTTACAAATTATGACTAGAGGTATGTATTGATTAAGAATATAGATGTTCTTTCTGAATGCGAGGGCTTTCAACAAGTAAGTAGATTGACTTTTCAAGTAGTGTCTTACTTAATACTGAAAACTATTTGGAGACTGGCTGGCAATCTGGTATATGGGATGTTACAGAAAATAAACTCTTTCTTGGGGGAGAGTAAATCTAGAAGCTATCCTTGGATTTTCTCACTCCATTCACTTTTCCATAGTGATCTCTTAATCGTTTACCTTTGCTGATGACCTCAATACAGTATATCAAGTTATGTCCTTTGTCCTGAACTCCAGATTGGAATTCATCCAGTGTCTATTGGGCATTCCTGTATGATGTCCTACAGATTCCTCTCACTCATCATGTTCACAAGCAATTTATTGAGTCCTTCTTTTTGTTCCAAATATATCCTTCTTCCTGTATTTACCATCTTGATTCATAGGACCACAATCAAGCCAGTTCCCAAGGTCAGAAAACTGGCAGCTCTCTCTCTTTTCCACTTCCACGTGGTCTCCAAATCCTATTGATCCTACCCTCCTAATATCTCTTGTAAATTTCCTCTTTCTGTCCTCACTGTTAGAGTCTTCATTTGGGCTCTCAGCATCTCTTGCTTGATGTATGGCAATAGCCTCCTTACTCTATCGCTGCCTCCCTGCTTCCTTCTAGTTCATCCTCCATGGTTAAAGCCAGAGTGAGCCTTCTAAAACACAAGTTTGTCATATCTCTCCATTACCTGAAAATCCTTCAAAGTTGCCTTGAGAGTGAAGTCCAAACCCCTTAACATAATATATGAGTCCTACATGGTCTGATTCTTGTCACCTATGCAGCCTCATAATCCATCATTCACATACCTATGTCTTCATTTGTGCGGTTCCCATCTTCACTTAATTGGTTAACATCAGTTCCTTTCAAGACTGAGCTCTTCTTGATCCTGCCCCAGAGCAGAATTAAGTATCCTCTCTTTGTGCTGCTTTTGCACTTGAATACCTCTATCATGGCATTTATTGAAGTGTACTGTAATTGTTGATTATTTTTCAGGCTTCCACCTTAGATTGTGTGTTCATTAAAGCCAAAGATTGTGTCTTGTTCTCATCTCTAGCCTGATAATAAGCCAGTGTCTGGGACAGAGTCAGTGCTAGGTAGTAACAGGCAGTCTAGTATTAAAGTTAGAAGCAATGGGCTCTGTAGCCAGACTATATGGTGTGACATTAGGTAGGTTACTTAAACCCGCTATATCTTAGTTTTCTCATCTGTAAAATAAAGATTATGACACTTATGGTACCTATGTCACAAGAGTAGATGTGAAGATGAAATGAGATATGATTTTTAAAACAGCTTGTAGAATTGTGCCTGGCACATGGTACACATAATATTGTTATTATTCTTATTAGATGCTGTTGAATGTAGGCATGATATCTAAGGACTTTTGTGATGTAAAGATGCCATAATTCTAAACTCCAGCTTAGTTTCAATCTGGAGCTACCAGATTCTCCTTGGAAAGAAGAGTCTTTGAATTTCCTTGGGCTAAAGACTGCCACCTCCCTCCTCACCTGCACTAGGACAGTGAAGAGATGCCTGTCCTGAAGAGGGCTTCCACGAGAGCCAGGGTACTCCCAATCAAAGTCCAGCCCGTCAAATCCATACTGACGCAGGAATTTGATGACTGAGGCGATGAAAGTCTGGCGGTTCTCCTGAGTGGAAACCATGGCAGTGAAACTGAAGGGGATCCAAAGAAAGTAGGGTGAGGCCTTGGTTGTCCCAACACCTTGTAGTGAAATCAAACCCCTATATTACTTCCTCAGAGCTCTTCGCCAGGACCACAGCCCAGAAAAAAGTATGTTCTTGGTTTTCTCCTGTCCTTACTTTGTAATCACTGCTGTGCCCAACCATGGTACCTCAATGTTCTCTTTATTTTGTTATCCACCTGACTCTAATGTTTTTCCTAAATTGCACTTGTTGCTTTAAACACCTGGCTCCGCTGGCTCACTGTGTTCTCTCTCCAAATAGTTGCCCAAGTTTGTACACCCTCGAGGATGTCTTCTTCTTTATTTGCATGACTTCCTTTTCTTTTTTCCCAGAAAGTAAATAGAGAGATGTCCTTTAACACTCTCCTCAGGAGTTTTGCTTTTGAAATACTTTAAGAAGAGATTGTTATAGATAGACGAGATTATACTGTATAGCACAGGGAAATATACACAAAATCTTATGGTAGCTCACAGAGAAAAAAAGTGACAATGAGTGTGTAAATGTCTATGTATGACTGAAAAATTGTGCTGAACACTGAAATTTGACACAACATTGTAAAATGATTATAAATCAATAAAAATGTTATTTAAAAAAAAGAAGAGGTTGTTTTAAAACCTCAGTAACTAAACTTCTGTGAGTGGGGTTCCAGAATATCCATCTAAATGTAAACACACAATAAACTGTGTTCTATTTAATATTCAGATTCTAGTGTAGCAATTTATTTAAGTAGCAGATCTGTTTAGTGTACATTCCTAATATCCTGACTTAGATTGTGAAATCTGAAGGGACATAGGTCACATTGGGCTAATTTGTTTTCAGTATCAAACACCAGGCTCTCTCACAGG